ATAGTGATTGCCCCCAAAAGCAAAAAAAGAAAAGAGGGATGGGGGAGTGAGAGACAAAAAAAAAAAAAAAGTAAAAAAAACACGCAAAACAAAAAACAAGAAAGTAGCAAACAGCAAATAAATTTAAAATACACACAAAAGGATTTATGAAAGAAATTCGTTCCCATGGGAAAGTAATTCTGTGGTGGGGAGGGCGCAAGTGTCCCACGCGGCAGCCAGTCACTCCTCACAGAGCCGCAAATCCCCACAGTCCCAGCAGAAGGAGCAGCGGCAGCAGTCCGCTTCCGCAAACAGTGCTGCCATCACCATTTGCCGCAAAGTGACGAGCGGTGCCGACACCCGTTGCTCCTCCCGTCAAGGATTCAGAAGAGCGCTTCGGGCGAGACACAGCAGGTGAAGAAGTACGCGCAGCCACTGGCTTTGGAATATTAATTTTATTTTTGGCAAGCCCTGCAATCTCTTCGGAGCTCAACGGGCGGTTGTACAGCAGGACGTTCGTCACACTCACAGATACACCTTCGTCACCCCCTGTGTTCTCTGCATTGCCTCCATCCCCTCCAATGTAGAAGTGAGAGATCCCTTTCGATTCTGTATTTTCCCAGTTACTTTGCACACTCTCACACACACGCTGACCATCGACGTAAACGGAGCCCTGGATGCCATTCTGTAGCACAATGGCCACTTGGTACGTTGTATCTTTCTCCCAAGTCCTGCTGTGCTCCGACGTCTTTCCGCCACTGTGCAACAATTCCCACCTCTTTTCTCTGTTGTACGACAGTCCCAGGAGTACAGTATTCTTATCGCCATCATTCACCTTCGCACCCATCAATGGAATGGAGTTATCTCCGTCCTTTGGCAAACCGTGGATGGACACCGTCGCCACAAGAGTGAATTTGTAGTTCGCAAAGTAGTACGGCACAGTCTGCCCCATGTCGCCAACAAGCCACACCGCCCCTGCACCACGCCCCGTGAACGTCACGCCATCGACAGGCCCTGTGGCCGCTGCTGCACCGCTCCTTACTGTGGCGTTCACGCCGAGGTACTCGTCCCTCCATGTGCCATCAGAGAAGTCGCCGGACAAAAAGCCAACCAGCCCATCCGTGATCTTAACAGCGCCGCAGGCAGTGCCAGATGAGGTGTCCTCCGTAGCACTTGAAGTGGGGCAAAGCTTGGAGACACGTTTGTCCACTTCATTCCATGTCGTCAGCACCTCCTTCACCCGCTTCAGCTGCGCAGTCAGAAGCACAGAGACCATACCGAGTGATGCTGTATCCTCATCGCCCTTCTTCTTCTCGTACAGTGTAATCAACTCCTCCTTCTTATTATCACCATCTTTACCACTTTTGTACAACAGGGAGCTGGCGGCAGCGTCCTCATCATCGGATACCGGCCCAATATCAACAATGTGCGTATTGTCCGTAACCCAAAGATGGAGTACACTCTTTCCATTGTTGTTTCCACTTTTCTCTTTTTTGGAGTAGACCGGCAGAGTAACGAGCATCACATCCCTGTTATTATCAACACCGTCAATCGTCGCTGTGATGAACCCGCTTGTAACGCCCTTCGCAGGCCCCTTGTGTTTGCTGCTCCACACGCGCGAGAGTGTCCCGAGTGCCTCCGTCCACGATTCCCCCTTGTCAGCGGACTCGTACACTCTGCGGCGGCCATCATCACACGCAGTCATCATCATGAGTTTGTCCTTCCACTCCACGACGGAGGGATCACCGCAGCCATCGGCAGACATCCCCTTCGACAGCGTCCAACTCGCAATGTCTGAGGAGTATATGATCAGCGAAACGGTCTTCCCATTATTCCTCTTCGTCCCTTCCACTGGGAACACAAGCGTACCGTCATTTATATTAACGCCCGATCCACCGCTGCCAATCAGTCCTGTCAAGGAGTCCTGTTTGCCAAAAAGACCCCACGGTAGACCGTAAGTATCTCTCCAATAAATTCTTTTGTCCTTTCCTTCCTCAACACTGACATTCCCTCTCACCAGCAAAAGTCCCCATTGAACCCCATCAGTTGTATTGGCAGCAGCAACTGCAGCGGCAGCACTTTCACTGGTGTATTTTCCCGTAAGCATGTAAATATCTCTTCTATTCACAACTGTTGTTGGTCGGCTCACATGTACTTTCGTGTCACTTTGGGAAACGGCATCTTCCTGTTTTTGACAGGTGCATTTCCCATCGTTGAAATGACATTCATCCGGTGCTTGGATCTTCAATTTACTCATATCCAACAATTTTGATGACTCATCACTCAACTCCAGGAGCTCCGAGGCAATCCCAGTAAAACCGCTCTTACTGACTTCCGTGCACTGCGCCTCGGCAACGGCAAACACATCACCATTCATTTCAACAAGACTCGGAACACGGAGCGAGCTCACTGTTTTTTCTTCATTCTTATCCCTCCAATCAAAATATGGCTTTGGTGAAGATTCCGCACCTGACGCTGGCTCATCAGCTTGTGCACCTCCACCAGTGCTGCAGCACATCATCACGACGAGAAGCAGCACCGCGGAAGTAAACACATGCCGGGACATGTTGGGCCTCTGCGGCTCACTCTCTCTTCCTTCCCTCCTCCTTCCGCTGGATCCGGTCACGCGGCGACGGTTGTGTGTGCGGGGTGCCTTCACTGCAGCAACACGTGAGTGCATACAAATATGTGTGTGTGTGTGTGGACGGTGTGTGTGCTGTTGTTGTTGATCCTTTCAGAGCCTTCGAATTTCACAGTAGCGTTTAGCGCTTGTTTGCTTTCTTCGTAAGAGAGTGACAGAAATGAAGAAAAACAGGCTAATAAAATATGGGTGAAAGAGTAAGCACCGCCACTCACCCACAGTGAGTGGCACCATCATCCCCGCCGCAGTCACTCCCAACAACAACAACTCACGCACACAGACACACGGAACAGAAGATGGAAGAACACTGCACCGGGAACACACAGCGACGGTCACCACCAGCAGCAGCAGGAGCCACGGCGGGTGCGTCGTTACTCGTTACACTTCAGCGCACACCGAGCAGCGTTCACACAAAAAACACAACCAGCAAAATGCAAAAAAGCACGACCGCCCTTCACAGCACCCACGCGCTGCCGCCAGTCGTTTTACTGTTGTTTCTTCCAGTGCCACCAATGGTCTTGTTTTCACTTCGAAGATTATTGCCGTTACCAGACACACCAGTAACCGGAGCAGCTAAACTTGTTTCAGAACAGCCAACACCGTAGACACCGCAGCACAGCACACAGAGGGCACATAGCAACAGCAGGCGGCCAGTGATCACATTCATCACGGCTACACATACTGTCTAGGAAGGGGCACGGAGAGAAGGATGAGAAGAACACACACCCAAATCAGCAGCGGCTGCATGGAAGAGAAGGGGTGGCGTTTACATGAGGGTTGTTGTCATGAGCATCGGTGACGCGTGCACGCAGGAAAAACAGGCAACAATGAAACACCGGACAGCACGGCGCACAACTCCATGGCTTTTAAAACCCTCCCGCAGCTGCCCCCCAATGGAAAGAAAAGAAGACGCCACGGTGCGGCAGGAACACAGAGATGACGGCGCAGAAAAGAATGCCAAACCGGCGTAAAAAAAAAGCAAAAACAAGGCTTTCCCCCACAGCGGCCACATCCAACACGCAAATAATAATAATAATAATAATAATAATAATCAACACCACACACGGCAACTCACAGGGCAGTGAATTCCCTTTCGCCAACCTTCATGGCTGCTCGCCCACACACTCTTCGGGAGTCCATCGCTCCGCCGCCTTCTTCCCTCCAGCAGCACCCTCGCACGAACAGCCACGGCACACAATCGGGTCCATCCGCACCAGTCGCCACGCCGCCCTCAACGACCCAACAGGCAACCGCCCAACGACTGTTGCAGACATCACACACCCGCGCCGAAGCACGCGACGCAACATCATGTCACGTGGACCCCGCCGTCGGCAGTACGTCACGTCAACCGTTTGGCCGGCATACAGAACAATCAGTTGACAGAACAGAGAAGTAAGGCAGGCGCTCAATCAAGGAATCTCCACACACACACACACGGCTCTTTTGATGCCAATGCAGCTGCCACGGGCACAGTATCCGAGCGGAAAATGACAACCAGTAAAAAAAGCCTCGCAAAAGGAAAACAATCCACACTTCCATATGCAAAGCGCCACTCAGGCTGCTGCAGCTGCAGGGTCCGTGGGCAAAAATGCGCCTTACTGAATCCCGCCAATTATGTCAGTCTCCCCTCCCACCAATGCCACGCATAATGCACGGTGTGCGTCCACAGGCATCCACTCCCGGTGGCCTAGCAACACTCCAGAAACGAACGCAACAGGAGTAATACAACGAGCACCACACTATGCCACCGCAACAGCAAGCACACCACAGGACAGCACCACGCCACGCACCGATGTTTTGCTCTTCCACACGCCTCATTTACCGCACACCCCAAAACACACATAATGGGAAAAGCAAAGGATCATTACACAATGCAAAAGCAATATAGATAAAAACAAGAAAATCAAAACCCACACAGATCCCTCGCACACGCACACAAACACCCCACGGCATTCTTCACAATAAGCAAAACAATTTGTTACCCCCAAACCCAATAAAACACGTGTGGTGCCGCCACATAAGCGACCAACACACACACAAAAAAAAAGAAAAAGAATGTATAGAGCATTTCTCTGGTGCAAAGCATAGAGACAAGCAGAGCGTATATATGTATATATATACTGAGAGGGACATATCAATTAATATAGGCTTTTCTCTCTTCCACCCACTGCTAAGTGCGGGCCACGCAGGACGCAACCGCATTAGCCTCGCCGTGCAACGGAATCCATGCAGCCACTCAATAGAGTGTTGGTACGGCGGCGGCAGCGGCAAGTAGAAGAAACAGCGGACAGGGAAAATCAGCAGCCGCACTGTTATTGCCGTGGATAGGAGGCGGAAAGTCTGTCAGGTCTGCCTCGCAACCCCCGCGCCCACCGCCGCTTCATCCTCCCTCGGCGGAGGATCCACGGCGCCCTTGCGCATCATCAGCGGCATCAGGGCCCTTGGGTCCCGTGGCTGCGGCACTGCCACCGGCCTTTTCGCTGACGGCCTTATCTCCTAATGATTGTCCCACAACAGACGTCACACCATCGGCGGCCACATCGTCGTTGTCCGGAAGATCGCTCTTCTTCTCCGCCTCCTGCGGCGCACCCGCGGTGTCGTTGGGCGAGATCACCCCGTTGCCTGTCGGGGCATCCCGGATGGACTTCCTTCTCCTCTCGCGACTGATGCTCCTGGGGTGCAGCCAAGTCGACATCCTTCGGTGGGGTGCCGCGGCCGGGATCAATGCTCTCCGCAACGGGGACGGATGCCCCTGACAAAACTTGTTCGGTAGATGCCGGTGAAACCGTCCTGCTCCACACCCTCTCCCCGCCGTCCCACGGAACCACTGCAGGAAGGCTGCCGCCAGTGGCGGATATCGTGCACACCTCCGCGTGGTCAGGACAAATGACGTTTCCCTCATCGTACGGTCGAGTGCCCACGTAATCGTCGCCCCGTCCGTGCATGGGACCCAAAAAACGCCGCCCTTTTCAGTCACTCTCAGACGCACTTGCAGGCCGAGGCGCCCCAATGCCGCATGCATGGCAGCACCGAGATGTGTCGCCTCCGTGTCCCTCGCATCGGTTGTGTTGGTGGGAAGCCTGTCCAGAAACCACAAAGAGGGCTCATCCCCGGGCCTCGCAGACAAATATTCTCCCCCCCAAATAACAGCGTCAGCATCCCTCAGATTCAGTGCGGGATCAGTGATGGGGCAACTGTCCACAGGGCTTTTTGCTGACATTTCATGGATAATATACCAACAGCAACCACTGGAATACCGATCCGACGCGCAGTGTTTGACGAAAACACCCACTTCACGGAGCATTTGGCGATATTCACTCATTTTCAGTGCGGATCAATTCCTCTGCAGCAGCCCGACTTCCTGCCGCAACGCGTCGGCACCGCCATCTATCAGTTCACCCTCATGCATCCCAGGTCAGCCAATGCGGCCAGCAACAGCTCCATGCCATCAATGTCGTCGCAGTCGTGGTGCTCCCTCACTGCCATCGCGGCAGTCGTCGAGTGCAACACCACCGATAGCGCCCTGCCACGCATACCAGCAACATTCCCCACCATGCTGCGGCCTGCCATGTGCGGGTAGGTGAATCCGAGAGCATGGACCAACAGGTGCGCGGCGATGCGGGTGACAAGGTCTCCATGAAACAAAACGGCCGGGCAATGTTCATGGCGCCAGCGACGGAACAGCCATCCTCCAGCGTGGCGCACGGCAGTGCCCACACAGCACCAGCGCCGCAGCCACGCACAGCACCATGTCAGAATTGGCAACACCAGCGCAACGATGCTCAGCAGGCACAGTGAACCGACTGCAAACGCTGCCCGTGTCAAATGGGGGCACAATCAACGGACGCTCCAGTGGCTGCACGAGCAGACGATCCGCATGCAGTTTGACAGCAGCAGGGACAACTTCATTCTCGAGAATGTCCCCGTGTGCAGAGGACAGAACACCATCCTCACAGTGGCAATTTTCAGTCAACAAATTCATTGTGTAATACCGCTCTGAAATACAATACTTCCTGGTATCATCCATGTCCCTTCTGGATACGTTGATGCGGATGGTCGCCCACAAATTCCTCCCGATGACAGTGTATGTCTGCAGCGCACCCTCTGCTCCAAAAAGATCACGTCTCTCACAACAAATTTTATCAAGTTCGCGCCGTCGGCACGCATCACATAGCCAAAGAATCAAGAGTACGTCAAAGTGAAAGCAAAGCACCGCTGGCAATCACACCAAAAACTTCATCACATGCAGCAGCACCAGCGTCTCGGTCTACTGTGGGGTGTAGAGCGAATAAACGATTGATGTGGGTGTTGGGCAAATTTTTCGTGGCTTGCTAAACCAACATAGGCTGATTGCGTGGGAAGAAACAACAAAAAAACACAAAAGAGAAAAGTCATCCATCCGCAATTTGAGCGATCCACCAATCAATGAAAATGCAGTGGGTGCACTCAACCACAACAGAAGTAAAACAAACAAAAAACAAGAAGCCGAAGCGCGGGACGACCAGCGCACACACTCTCATTGCTCCCGTAAAGCAAAACACACACACAGGGGGAGAGAGAGAGAGAGGTCGCCCACTCAATGCAATAAAAACAAAACAGAAGCAGTTACGGTGCTCCGCCCATGCAGCCAGGCAGGACGGCAGCGGTGCGTGTCGTGCAAAAGAGAGCACCAACGGGCCTGCATGGGTGTGCATGCAATATATACAATGGGCACATTATGTGTGTGCTTCGTGGGATGAGGTGAGGGCGAGAGTCCATGCAAGGGGACACACACAGAGAGTGAGTGAAAGACGAGTGTGTGTGCGGGCGGTGCATGGCGCTCTCTCACTCACTCTCACGCGGCCACCACCGCAGCAGCAGCCGCACACGCAACAAGAAGAAGAAGCAAAAGAGGGGAGGTGGTGTGGGAGACCGCGGTGCTGCCGTCACTGTCGCCAGACTTAGATGTAGCGTTCTTTTGAGTGGTGTCTGTTTCTGGTGTTTGTGGTTCGACCTCACTGGCTGTGGGAGCATCGTCGGTATTTCCATCTTCAAGTCCGTCTTGTGGTTCTTTGCTGTTAGGCCGTTGATCACCGTTATCAACTTTGTCCTCATTTTTCTGGGCTCCACCACTCCCAGTTGTGGATATGGATGTTGCTTTTGTTTCCGCCGGATGACTTGTAGGTGCATCCTTCATCGAATCTGGTGTTTCCGTTTCTTCTTTCTGTTGGTTTGGAACACGATTCCCTAAAGGTTTTTCCGCAGCTCCTAGCGCCACTTTAGCGTTTGACGGTGACGTCGTGCTTGTTGTCTCAGTTGCAGTCTGGGAGCCTGTTGACGCTGTTGGGCTTGCTTCTCCTGCTGGTTTTCCATTTGTCGTTGTTGTTGTTGGTCCAGGTGGAGTCTCTGACGGGGTTCCTTGTCCCTGTCCTTCGATTGAAGTCAATGTTAACAATAGTTCTGGTGCCGATGGTGTTGCTGCCGGTTTTCGTGGGCGTGAGTCTCCTCCTGATGCTGGTGGTCCTTCTTCTCCTTCCACTTGTAGTGATTCACGTGGTGGCGCTGGCGTTATTCCTCTTTCTGGCTGCGATGTTAATTGCAATGTTCCCCGATCTTTCGTTAAACTTTTTTGTTTCTCTGCTTTTTCCGTAGTTCTTGTGTCTTTTCCATCTTTGCCTTTTCCTCTTCCTTTTTCATCATCATCATCTTCTACTTCATTTTCCACTTCTTCTACACCTTCCCCCAAAGATTCCGTTGCGGCGCCGCGTAGATCTTGTGGATGGTTCAATTGTGGTTGTTCCACCACTGGTGACTGTATTTCTGAGTCTGCGCCGTGTAGGACTGGCTTTTCAAGTTCTTGTGTTTCCAGAGGATCTCCACCACTCGAACGGCCACCAGGACTCTCGGTAGAAAGTTCCTCATCCTGATCGGCAAATACCCCACAGCCGGCACCGCACCACAGCACGCAGAGGGCACACACCAGCAGCACACGGCCAGCCATCATCATCGCCATCATCACTCCTTTCACTTGCGTGTAGCCTTCAGCACAAACTAACAACACATCAACGCAGAGTGAAAGCAAAAAAAGAAAGACACGAACACTACACCACACACAGCCACCACACAGTCACAAATGGCAGCAGCCCAGAAGCAGCAACGCACACACACCATGAGGCAGTTGAAATCAGTGAAAGGGCAAAAACACACACAACGCCCCGCAGCAAGTAAACAGCGAAAACACGCAAAACAATCAAAAACAAAACACAGGTAAACAAACAGCAATAAAGTAAAAAATGTAGAAACACACAAAAAACAAGGGGCTGCACAGTATGGCTCCAGTGTGCATAAACCTATCCTCATGTGATTCCACGCAAACAGTTGTGTGCGTGTCGTGCATATGAGTGTGACTGGGTTGCGCTAAACGTGACGGATACAGGGAGCAGCAACATGGAGCACACAGCAGGGCATCAGAAGCAAAGGAAGCAAAATACAATCATTATTTTCTCTTATTTATTTACATCGGACCACAACAGACGCACACAAATCCCCGTGGCTGAGTGCTGGCACGCACAGCCCACACACACACTTCTTCAGCCCACAGCGGTGCACGCCAGCGCGGATGCGGCGAGCAGCAGCGGGGCACACACCCACGCAGAGCTGCTGAGGCTGCCGTCGATTTCGCGAAGACGTGACGGTGCGCGGGTGGTCGTCGTGGTTGGTACTTCTGTAGTCGTAGTACTAGGTGCCTCTGGCGCAGTGGTCGTCGTCGTGGCTGTCGTAGTAGTGGTAGTAGCCGCCGTGGTCTTCTCGGCCGAATCGTCGGCATTCGTATTTGTTTGGTCTGTGGATGGATTATTGCCACTTTTTGACTCTGTCGTGTCCTTGTCACCATTTTTCTGTACCGTATCGGCCACCGGACCTGGACTCCCTGAACTAACGGACCCACCTGGCCCCTTTTTTGTAATAGACACCGAAATTGTTGGATCTGGACTTCCTGCCGGAGCGGTCACCCTACTTGGATGCTCTGACGGAGCTTGTCCCGCACCTGGAACCCCTTGCGTATCGGACTGTTCACTTTTTCCCGGTGACGCAGCGGCCGCAACTGCTGAACTTGACGTCGTGGACGCATTTGTTGCCCCTGAAACACCTGTTCTCTGTGGCTGAGTAACCGAAGGAGTGGGCCTGTCCTTAACTGGATCCTGACTACTTTCTGTCCCGCCCACTGACGGACAGCAGCACAGGGCGAGCACCAACAGGGCGCACAGCAGACGGCACGTCATCATCATCGTGAGTGTGGTCGTTCATTGGTGTGGAGCTAATCTGCACAGTGAGGGACATGGAGAGCAACAGGGGAGAAGAGAGGTGCGGCAGACACACACACAGAGGGCACACCACATGAGGAGAGGGCAGCAGCCAGGCATGCACCGTGCGCCGCACACCACGCACGACACACACTCCAATCCACGGCAACAGGCACACACACACACACAGCCCTGCCGCAACACCAACACACAGATGGAAGAGGGAGAAGCAAACAGGAGCGGCACGCAAGACTCCACCGCATGCACATACGGCGAGAGCGGTCCGTCGTGTCTTCACCCCTCACGGAGGGTGCGCACACACACGAGGAAGTGCAGCGCACACAGCAACACAAAAGCAAAGTAACAATAAAAAAAGAAGATCCCCGCACACCACGTGGATCGTTGATCCACGGGAAGTGCAGCCAATATTCATTACAAAACAATTCGGTTGCCTTTGGCCCTCGTTCATATTCAGCGCACTCCACACGCAGGCTTTCCTTCTGAGAGACTCCTGATCGTGCGTTGCCCCACACGCCTGAGAGTGCCCCGATGGCCTCCGTCCACTTTGCCCCCATGTCACGCGACGCCTACACCCTCTGGCCATTCTCGCAGTCACCATCATGAGAAGTGATCCCTCCCACTCGGTGACGCGGGGTTAAGGCATTCCGCAGGGGGAAATGTCTTCACGGAGCGACCAGGCACTGCCGCTGTCCGTCGAGCAAATGATCATGGAGCAAACGTCTTCCGCTTCATTCACCGCCATCAGAAGAAACACAAGTATGCCATCCTCCATCACAACACCTGCGCCACCAGAAGCAATGAAATCCGTCCATTAGCCTTGTGAGAAGCAGAAGAGATCAGTTTCGGGAGTGGTTTGGGGTCGCCCCATTCGATCCGTCCACTCTGCCTGCCACCCGTGGGATTCGTGACATCACCCACAAACAGTTTCAGCTCCAAGC